AGGATTCAGTCGTGGGATCCTCCGGAGCCCCCGTTCTCGGAGGCTTTGGGGGCTCCCTGGGCTATGGGGGTTATGGATCCCTGGGTTATGGGGGTCTGTGGGGTTATGGGGGATATGGATCCCTGGGTTATGGGGGTCTGTGGGGTTATGGGGGATATGGATCCCTGGGTTATGGGGGTCTGTGGGGCTGTGGGGGGTCCCGGGGTCTGTGGGGCTATGGCAGATCCTTTGGCTCTTGCAGCCCTTACTCCTGGTACGGCAGGTACGGCCGTGGCAGCTGCTGGTCCTGCTGAACAGAGCGGGAAAAGCCACGGAATGAGGGAGAAGTGAGAAGCAAAATGCAGCTTCCCCCCCCCCGTGGCAGCACTAGCAGAGCCTGTTCAGTGCCCCCTGTGCATGTTCCACACCTGCCCCTTTTTTTTTCCCCCCCTTTGAATTCTTTCCTGATGTTTTCCCGGGTTCAGTTCCTTTGTAATCTTCTTTATCCCACCTGTTGCCTGAAGGCAGGGAGAGATTCCACAGCATCTTTCTCGCTGCCTTCGCCTCTGACGTCTTGGATTTGCATTCTTGGTGTCACCATGTGGTTTTGCTCTTTTCCTTCTCATTAAAGCTCTGTTGCATCATTTGAAACACACGTGTCATGGTTTTGTGTCCTCATCACCCTCCCCTGAATTTGCCAGCTCTGCTGTGCCTGTGGCTGCACTGATGTGGTGCAAACCCTGCCCAATATCCCATCTAACCCTGCCCTCAGGCACTTTGAAGCCATCCCTCCTTGTCCTGTCGCTCCAGGTCCTTGTCCAAAGTCTCCCCCTCGTGTTCCTTTAACCCCCTGCAGGTCCTGGAAGGTCACAATCAGGTCACCCCAAAGCTTCTCTGCTCCACACCGAGCAACCCCAAGTCCCTCAGCCTTCCACAGACTGAGTTCCTGGGTTTGGGACTTCCTTGGTTCTGTTGAAATTGTGCATATATATTAAATATAAACAGAACTAGTGTCAGTATTTTATGAAGAGCCCAAACCCAAACAAAAGCACTGCACTGTACATGACACATCTCTTTTAGGTTGTCAGCAAAGCACAAAAAACCAACTCCTGACTCTGGCAGATCCTTATCCCAACAAAACACTTTACATGGTTCAGCAGCCAAAAGATCTCAGGGCACACATTTTCCTGCAGGGAGAAGAAAGGCTGAACTGAATTATGCCTGGAATTCATCTGACCAGAAACTGAGGGTAAAACATGAATAAAGAGAGGCAAGAGCTGCCAAATCTCAGTGTCCATCACACAAAAAGGCAGCTACAAATCTACCTTTAATTTGGTTTTATTTAATTACCTCTAATTGAACAGCATTCCCAGCAAGACCCACAAGCTTCCCTAGCGGGGGAAACAGCCAGAAGGGGTTGTTCTACCTCCTGCCAGGACCTGAGAACCTGTAAAACAATCTCCTGTGGTGAGGAGAACAGTCACAAAAGCCCGTGTGTGACACAAAGAGCCCTGGGAGTTAACGGAGCTCCTGCCCTTCCTCCTGTCCTGGGGGAAGGCACTGAGTGTGATGACAGGGCAGGGTGGCTGAGCCACCACCCTCTCAGGTCAGGGCAACTGGGGCTGCTCGGGAATGGTTCATCAGGAAACACGACTGAGAGTTGATGGAACTCAGCAGGAACTTGTGGGCAACGGGAGGAAAAGCTTCAGTCTTGTGGAAATGGGAAAGTTCTGTGTCCAGGGATGGGCCCCTCATGGCAGGAGGGACAGGGAGGGGCTGGAGCGTGGCCAGAGAAGGGAATGGGGCTGGAGCAGCAGGAGAAGGGGATGGAGAAACTCCTGAGGGAGCTGGGGGGGCTCATCCTGGAGAAAAGGAGGCTCAGGAGGGACCTTCTGGCTCTGGAATTCCCTGGAAGGAGGGGGGAGCCGGGTGAGGGTCAGGATCTGCTCCCAGGTAATGACACAGGAGGAGAGGGAACGGCCCCAAGCTGTGCCAGGGGAGGGTCAGGTTGGATATCAGGAGGAATTTCCTCCTGGAAAGGGTGGTCAGACCTTGGAAAGGGCTGCCCAGGGAGGTTTGTAGTCCCTACCCCTGGAGGTGCCCAAGGAAGGCCACTGATTGCTCTGGGCTGGGGGCCAAGGTGGGGATGGGGCACAGGGGGGGACTCGGTGACCTTGGAGGGCTTTTCCAACCTCAGGGATTCTGGGATGGGGTCGTGTGAGACTCGAGGCAGTTCTGAGGAGGGATTTTGTGCATTTCCCCGACCTGCCTGAGGTCTCCCCGTGAACACCAGCCCGTGTTTCTCGCTCCTGAGTCGCCTCCAGGTGACGAAAGAGTTTTGCTCAATATTTCTGTTTATGATGAGTTGATTCAAATTCTGACGCCGCACGAAATGCAAATTACCAAACAAATATTTCTTTCATCTTAGCCCTTAATTGGCAAGATTCATTCCTGGTAACGTTCCATCAAATACATTTGGAATGACAGGGGGAATTATGCTGCTTCATTTATTTACCTCTTCCTTTATTGGTTGACATAATGATGGTGGCTCAAGTGTTAATCATAATTATCATCTGCTTTAAGGTGCAGGTTTTCTTCCTTTCTTCCTTACCCATGGTAGATAAAACAGAAGTGATAAAAAAAAAAACCCACAGCGTCTTTCTTGTGAAATCAGCAACTTTTACATGAAGTTGGAATTCAAAGTTGGACAAGAACACTGGGAGCTACACAAATAAATGTAATCTTCAGTTATGCAGGAAAATCAACTGAAACCCTGAACTTCAAAACCTTGAGCTGGTGAAGGGAACAGGAAGAGTTCACGATTTAATAACTGCCTTTCAAAACGTTGGGCTGTTTGAACCCAACCACATATTTACCTGACAATAATGACACCTCACTTCGTGTGTAAATTATTAAGGAGGGTTTGGGAAGTGCTTAAAAACACACACACACAAAAAGTTATTTGGACACTCATTGTGAGTATTATTCTTCCTGTCATCCCCTGGGGACGTCTCAAAGTCTGGGAAAAAGGATCCTCCTAATTTGAAGTGGTAGAAATGTGTTGATTTAGAAAACCATTTCGAATTTTTTACGTAGAAATCGTGGTAGAAATGTGTTTATTTACCAATCAACCAACCAACCCACCCACAGGTAAATGAGGAGTTCTGGGGTGGGACAGTTCTCATCAAACCTCGCCTGTTTACAAGCTGGGGCTTTCAGCTGAGCTGGTTTTGTGTCCCCACAGCCAACGAAAGCAAAATTGGGGTGGTTTTTTTTGGGTGTGTGATGCCAATTCTGGCAAGGTCAGCACCTGAGATGGGGTGAATTGTCTTGCAGAACCTCCTGTCCCTCCCCACTGAGTGCCTGGAGAAGGCTCAGCAATTCCCAGTGGTGGACAAAAAACGGGGAATCTCACAAAATTTGCCCGTGTTTCACCTCTCTGAAGGTTGTGGGGAGACCTCAGAGCACCTTCCAGGGTCTGAAGGGGCTCCAGGGAAGCTGGGGAGGGATGTTCATCAGGAACTGGGGTGACAGGACAAGGGGAGGTGGGTTCAGACTGACAGAGGGAGAATTTAGGGTGGATATTGGGGAGAAATTCTCCCCTGTGAGGGTGGGGAGGGACTGGAATGGAATTCCCAGAGAAGCTGTGGCTGCCCCTTTATCCCTGGAAGTGTCCAAGGCCAGGCTGGACAGGGCTTGGAGCAACCTGGGCTGGTGGAAGGTGCAATGGGATGATCTTTAAGGTCCTTCCAACCCAAAGCATTCCACGTTTCTGTGATTTCCTCTCCTCCTCTGGAGCCCTGGGATCCCCAACACGGAGTTGGGAGGAACCACCAATGTTTGCATTTGCATCAGGAGGAATTTCCCCCTGGAAAGGGTGGTCAGGCCTTGGCAGGGGCTGCCCAGGGAGGTGAGGGAGTTCCCACCCCTGGAGGTGTCCAAAGAAGGCCTGGAAGTGGCACTGGATGATCCCAGAGGGCTTTTCCAACTTTAACAATCCTGGGAAAGAAAATACCGACACCCCCTTCACAGAGCAAACTTCACCCTGTGGCTTAAACAGGTTCAGGCACTAAAATATCCTCCCTGCACCAAAGAAAACTCGGAATTTCCAACTCAAAAACCCCCCAGCTGCCAATGCCCACCGGAGGTTCGTGGCTGTGAGAAGCATCGGGAGGTTTTTCCACCTCGCCGGGCGTTTGGTTGCAAAATCCGCGAGCAGATGAGATCACAAGCGAGACCTGAAAGCGTTTAAACCCCTAAACCTGTCCACGGCAGCAGCTTCCAGCGCCGATTAAAATCGTTAGGCGAGCTTAACGAGGAAGGAAGTGCTAAGTAAATAGAGGGAGGTTTCGTCCCTGCCGGGGCGGGACGGTGGCAGCGAGTGAAACTGGTCAATTAGGGCTCCGAGATGAAAGGGAAGCGGGAGGTGGAATGTGCGGCTTGTGCTCCGTCAGAGATTTTTTCGGGCGGTTTTGCAAACTGCGAGCAACAGGGGGTTGCATCACTCTGGGGAGGCAAATGCTGTGGCTCAGCTCCCCCCCTCCTTCTTTATTCCCCCCTCAGGCCATCTCGAGTGCCGTATAAAAGCAGCAGCTTCACCGAGTTGGTTCCATCTCGCTCTCCTGCTTCTCGTCTCCACATCGGGTAAGTCTGATGCCGTTTGGTTTCTTTCTGGGTGCCGCGATGCCCGAGTTTTATTCATTTTTTTTTTGATTCTGGAGCTTGGGATACTGCATTGCTGGGTTTAGGATGAAGGATGGGTTTTTCCCCCTTTATTTCTTTGTCTTTAATTTATTTTTTGATTTTATTTGTGGAGCCTCTTGGCAAGTTGTGTCACTTCAGGAGCCAAGATCAGGAGGGGTTGAGGCACTGATTTTAAATAATAGGAATTATTATTAAACAGCATATAATACTATCCTATTTCTCATTATTTCCCTGGAATTTATATTTGGCCATTCCTTTACTGGTAGGAGACTGAAAATATAGGTTGGAATAAGCTTTAAAATGCAGAATTTTCCTGCCCCACCTCAGTTCACTGATGTGGCTGTATCCCAAATTCTTTAGTGACTCACCTGAAGAAAGAGCTTATTTTAAACCCTACTTATTTTTTTACCACAGTCAATCTGAAGGGAAGCAAACTGGTGGTCTGATCCAGTGAAGAAAATAGAATTTCTACCTTTTTTTTACTGGGAAAAAATGTTAACCCAACAGCTGCCATGACCAGACATTCAGCTGAAATGGTTTGCTAGCTGTATTTTTTTTTATTATTATTTTTTATTTTAGATTTTAACTTCTTTTTATTTTTATCTGACGAAGGAAATGTGCTCCTTGCGTTTTACCCACCTGCTCCACAGCCTGTGTGAAACTGTGCTGCTTGCGCCCAGAAATATTTGGAGAGAAATATTTTATAGGGCGTCTTTGCTGATTATATCAAATACAGCCATTCCCTGGGTGCTGTCCCTGGTCCCCCCAGAGCAGAGCTCAGTCCCTGCCCCTCCTCTACCCCTCCCCAGGAAGCTGGAACTGCAGTGAGATCTCCCCTCAGTCTCCTGTTGTCCACCTGAACACACCCCATCCCCTCAGCCTCCCCTCAAAGCCCTTCCCCACCTCTGCTGCCTCCTTTGGACCCTCTCTAGCATCTCCATACCATCCTTCCATCGCCAGCGACCCACAACTGCCACAACATCCCAAAGCTTCGCACCCCGTGACGCTTTTTCCCCGTTCCCAACTGGCCCAACCCCGAACCTTGGTTTCTGAGCAACTCCATTCTCTCTTTTTCAGCACCACCTCCCTCCCAGCAAACAAAGAATGGCCTGCTACGACCTGTGCCCCACCACCCCCGGCATCTCCTGCCCCCAGCCCGTCGCCAACAGCTGCAACGAGCCCTGCGTGCGCCAGTGCCCCGACTCCACCGCGCTCATCCAGCCGCCCCCCGTGGTGGTCACCTTCCCCGGCCCCATCCTCAGCTCCTTCCCCCAGCAAGCCGTGGTGGGCTCCTCTGGAGCACCTGCTTTTGGGGGCTCCCTGGGGCTGGGGGGGCTCTACGGGGGCTCCCTGGGATACGGAACCCAGTATGGATACGGGAGCCCGGCCCTGTCCGCGCTCGGCAGCGGCTCCTGCGGCCCCTTCTCGTCCCGCCGCTACGGCCGCGTCTTCCGCAACGTCTGCGGGCCCTGCTAAAGGCACAGGGGGGGTTTCCAACAGCCTGAATGAAGACCCAAATCCTGAGCAGTGAGGGCGAGGGCTCAGCCTTCCTGCAGCCCTTCGATGGAGCTCCCTCCCCTTCGCCTTTCTCGCCTCTCTCCTGCTTTTTCGGTCAAACCCTCAGCGCCTTCTTGTCGCTGTTGTCGCCTGTTCCAGCTTTCCCGGTGTTTTTTGAACCATTTTTCACCGTGGACGCCACCGACAGTGACAGGTGCCTGCATCAGCAGCTGCACAACAGCCAGAAGAAGCCGGCTGAGGACTGGGATATCTCAAGAGAAGGACATTTATTGATCGTGCCCTGAAATTGTCTGGCAGGACAATTTTTTTCTTTCATACTCTGTGATATCTCGCTTCGCAAACAGGCACTCCTCGCTCATTAAAACTTTGTTGCATCACACAGCAGCCTCTGGTTTCCCTTCTTCCCTTCAGCCACAGTCTGTCCTGGGTGGGACCTTCCCAAAAATCCGGGCCAAGCTGCTCCCTGAGCAGTAGGACCCCAAAACGCTTCAGCACTGATTTTAAACGTGTTAAAACGTTCCTGTAACAAAAAACCTGAGTGGCAGCTTTGAAGATACCAAAAGTTTAAAGCAACAGAATCCCAGAATCTCTGAGGTTGGAAAAGCCCCTCCAAGGTCATCAGGTCCAACCTTTGACCCATCTCCACCTTGTCCCCCAGCCCAGCTCACTGAGGGCCACAGTATCTTCACTCCTGTCCTTTAAACATGATTTCAGTGCCAAACAATCTCTGAAAAATGAGATAATTTAGTCAAATTGGCATGTTTTCAGGGAGTTCTGATTTTGGGTGGAGGGTGATGTGTGGCATGGGCAGAGTATGGGTTATTTTACAGGTCATGGAATGATGGAATCGAGGAATGCTTTGCATTGGATGGGGCCCCCAAAGCTCACCCAGTCCAACCCCTCTGCCATGGGCCTGATCTTCCACCCGATCAGGATGCTCAAAACCCAGTTCCAAACGACTTCCAAACGTCCCAGAAAGGATTCCAGACACGGTTTTGTTAAATTATTGTTTTCTAAGTTAAAGGGGAGATACGAGCATAAATTTAAAAAAAAAAAAAATCCTCTTTTAATTTTCTAAATAACTGCAGAAAAGCACAGAAACACCAGGTTTTATTTCAGAAATAACTGGAAGAGGACAGACTTGCTGCTTTGCATGGATTTAGTGCCATCCTGTGCTGGTTCTGCACCCCTTTGGGCTCATTCCAGCTGCAGGAGGCAACTCGTTATTCCAGCTTTAAGGAAGGGCTGAGGCTGAGCAGTGAATGTGTTGCCCAGAGCTATTTGGTGAGGTGACAGGAGACACAGTTCTGACACAAGCCTGATTGTTGTTCCTGTTACTCCTCTGGGCCTTTCCATCACCGCACTCGACACCCTTGGGCTCCCCTGGGGGTTCCCAACAGATAAAAAGCACCGGGGGGGGTAAATAGGACAATCAGCAGCCCCTAAGGTTGGGACCCTTTAGCACAGGATTGCACAGCCCTCCTGTCAACACCCTCAGGCTGGTGCCAGGGGAGGGTCGGGTGGGAATGTTTTCCTGTCTCCAGTGGTTTTCCAGCAGTGAAAAACGGTGCAGCACAAGGTTTAAAGTGGGGATAGCACCTGGGAGAGCTCGTTGCTGAGCAGGGGGGCTGAGAGGGTGGGTGAGTTTGCTCACTCCCCTCTCACTTCAGGGCTGAAACAGGGTGGAAACACCAGCACTCCACCCGGGAGAGTTTCTCAGTTGTGCTATTTCATCAAAGCAAGCCCAGAACGCTCAAATTGTGATGCAACCTGATTTTTTTAATGGGGGAGAGAGGGGGGAAAGTCACAAAAAGTTACAGAAAATGAGGTTTTGAGGCTTTTTTACAGAGTTGGTCTCTGGTTTCAGGAAGCTTCGTTCCAAGCAGTGTTCTTTTCTTCTTCTCCAAGTGTCAGCTTCCCCCTGCAGTCCAGTTCTCATAATTCTTGGTTGACACCAGGCAGCTTCGAGGGGGGGAAATCACAGGGTACAAACTCCCCTGGATAATGGTATTAGTTGGGATGTAGGAGGGACATTAATGCAGCTGAAATTTGGACCACGAGAAGAACAGAAGAACACATTTCTAGCTAAGAAAGGAGGCACAGAAAGCACAAACACGATCAAGTGGCAGCGAGAAATCAGCCCTTTTTCTCTGTTTTCATGGCAGGATTTTAAAAAGCCGCTTCACTCTTGAGATTGGATCTTGCATTCGGCATCCTGGCTGCTCCTGCTGGAGAAACAAAACTCCTGCTGGCTTTGGGAGGACTCACACCTCCTGGATCTGTAGCCACTGACCCTCGGGGAGCAATAAGGGGACGAGAACTTGCTCCCCTGAGACGCCCCGTAGCAAAAAGAGCCTCTGGAGCCGTAAGATCCCCCAAAACCAAGTGAGCCCCCGATTGCAGCTGGTGCAGAGGATCCCACCACGCTCTCCTGAGGGCAGGAGCTGAGGATTGGCCCGGGGAAAGTGATGACCACGGGGGGTGGGTAGATGACCGCCCGGGAGTCCCCGCAGGAGGTGACACAGGGCTCGTTCCAGGCGTCGGCGACGGGCTGAGGGCAGGACACCCCCCAGGACGGGGAGCAGGAGGAGCTGCAGATCTGCCTGTAGGAGGACATGGTGGCAGCAGTGGAAGTGGCTCTGAAAACACAAGGAACACGAGGCTTTGAGTGGCAGGATGGGCTGAGTTGAAACGAGTCATCCAAGTCCGACCCCTGGACCTGAGTGGACACCCCACCGGTCCCATCGTGGCCCCCCTCAGGAGGAACCTGCAGACCCCAAGGAGGGTTCCCCTTGGTCCCCCCTCTCACCCCAGAATCATTTTAGAGCAACTCAGTGGTAGGACAGGGGCAGGGTTTGCAGAGACGCCTTCAAACCTGAGCTTGCCCTCCCACCAAAGCCAAGATTAGGCTGCAGCTCGTTCCTGTACCGGCCTTGGGAACTGAGGGCTGGGAATCCTGGAAGGATTCCCTCAGGAAGCTGGAGAATCCCAGCCCTGAGCTCTCTGCAGGATCAGCAAAGCTGCTTTAGCAGCCAATTTAAGTCCCCCACCAGCAGACTCTCAGGTAGAGTTCAGTTAATTATCATTGAAAGAACGTGTAAAAAAAAAAGGTGCAAAGGATCAAAAACTTACTTGATTCCCCGAGGAGAGGTGAGGAGAAGCTGTTGGGATGGGTGTGAGTGGCACAGGCTTTTATACTCCTGCTGGGAGTGTCTGGAGCATCTGAGCCGCCCCTTTGCACGTGCTTGTTTTGATCAGATTCGGAACAGCGGCGATTACACACAACCACTCACCGGTCAGAATCACCAGCTGCAATTATTGGGCAATTCCCAGCTTTCCATCACACCTGGATACGTCACCCCCTTTAAATTTGTAGTCACAGCCAGGCTCATCAGATTTTTTTTTTTTTTAAGCCTCTCCAAACCCCTTCCCCAGGATTTATCCCTCTGCAGTTCAATGAAACTAAAATCATCGGGTTAAAAAAATGTGTTTTAGTTCTGTCTCTTATGTTTTAGAACTCACTCATAGATGGGGGAAAGGAACCAATAAATAGTCCTTAACTTTCCCTGGAATCCACACCAGTACAGCAGACATGCAGAGAGGGGAAACTCCAGCTTTTTTTTGTTATTTTTGCCCTCTCAGAGGATTTTCCAGGGCAAGACCTTGAGTAGCAGCGACCTGATGGCAGCAGGGTTTGATTCCTTGATCAATACAACAATCAAGCCCACTGGTGGGGGAGATGAAAGGATTCAGGCCCTCAGCAAGTGATTAATTACAGCAATAAATTCCACTGTGGAACCGCAGGATCGTGAAACCAGGCGCCTTAATGCTCCTTGAGGTGGAGAAGGATGTAAAATAATCACACAAAAAAGCAAGGAGCTTGATTCATTCCCACCCAAAAGCGGCCCAGGGAGTGGATTGATACCAGGAAGGACCTGGTGAACCCTGAGCTGGGGGTGTTGTGACACACACGAGGAAATGGGGAACACACCAGAGTCATCAGGGCAAGTCAGGAAACTTCTACCTGAATGTGCAACAAAAATCTGTTGGTGCAGCAGAAAATCCTCCTGAGCAAGGGCTTTCCACGGGCTGTTTGTAACCACCTGGGGTCTGGGGGGGAAGGAGATCTCAGAGAGGCAGAGATGTGATGTTTGATGAGGTTTCATGGGGAAATGGTCAAGGATTGCATAGTGGGGAATGTTATTTTCCTCCTTGGAAGTGTCAGAAGGGTTGAGACCCCCTGGAAAAAAACCTCTCTGTCCTCTGCTGAGCTGTGTATATGCCTAAAGTGTCTAAAGTTTAAAGTTTATAAAGCTTTATATAAAAAAATCCTTGTGTAATGTCCAGGGCTATGGAACATTCAGGGTTTATGCCAAGGCCTGGGATTTCCTTTTAACACCTTTTTTAATGCAAGGGATGAGTGACTGGGGATTATTTTGCTATCAGTAGATTTGCAAAGCACACAAATAAGAGCAGAGAACGTTGCATTGTGATGCAGAAAGGCTTTTATTGACAAATGGGATTTACCAGACAACAATAACACTGCAGGGAACAACAGAGAGGAATTAAGTTAAATTTACACAAAATAATCAGGAAACAGAGGCAGGAACTGTGAGGAGAGATCAATTCCAAAAAGGGGGATGCGGCATCTGGGCTTGTCCCTTGGGATGAAGGAGAATTCCCAGCCTTCCCTCCCCTCAAAATTTACGAATTTGCTCTTGTTTCTGCTGGATTTTGCCATCCAGCGAGCCCTTGCCGGGCTTGGCAGGGCGGTACATCCCGGAGGAGCGGGAATAGCAGGGGTAGGAATATCGGCCGTACGGGGAAGCTCCACAATCCAAGGAGCTCTGAGCGACCCCAGAGCTCCCCCAGCCAAAGGAACCTCCCAGCCCCACGGGCATCGAGGTGCCCACCACGCTCTCCTGGGGGCAGGAGCTCAGGATGGGGCCCGGGAAGACGATGGACACGGGAGGAGGGTAGACCACGG